GCCCCGGTGCTGACACACCCCTCCCCCTCTGGACCTCGGCTTCCCAATCAGGAAAGCCAAGAGCAGGGTCTTTGCCAGGGGGTGCCCAGGGTCCCCGCCGGATGGTCTACCGAAGCAGGCGGACCCATCTGGCAGGGAGGTGGGCAGACAGAATCCGATGGGCGCAGGGTCCGGGAGAAATGTCACAACGCCTGCTGGGTCTGGGTTGTGAGCCCCCCACGAGGTCCGAGCTGCCCTCCCTGGGGTCTGCAGTGAAGAGCAGGGCCTGGCTGTGCAGCCTGGGACCTACCAGCAGCTGCCAGGTCACCCAGCAGGTCCCTAGGGTGTCCCCTCCCACCCAGCCCCAGCATACCCTGTGGCTTTCCAAGAGCCAGCACTTACCTTGCTCAACAGAGCAGGAAAGACCTGCCTCGTGGGTGGCTCCTTTGCTTCAGTGACCAGGACTCAGCCCAAGCCACCGGGCACACACCCCTGCCCACCCCCCACCCCCAGCTGAGGCCCACCCCCAACGGCTGTGTGCTGGGGAAGAAGGAAGCGAGAATGTGGTTCCCCAGGCAGGGCCACGTGACTCGTCTTGTTGATTGCGTCTTGGTGACAGTGCTGATGGAGGCACAGGGTGGGTGGTGGCCCCGACACCCGTCTCCGATTCTGTGACCTCAAGGCATCAAGGACCCTGTCAAAACTTGGAGTGGGGTGGGGTAGGTTGCACAGAGAGCCCTTTGAGGGGGGACAACAGCATCACTCCACAAACACACGATGGAGTTTGGGGCAGGGTGGGACCCCACCCTTAGAAGGGTGTGACCAGGTTAAAAAAAGGAGGGTGGATCTCGGTCTTGTTCAAGATGTGGGCGGGAGGAGAAAGCAGCTGCTCACGAGGCTTGCCAAGATGATGCCTCTGTTCTTTGGCCCTTAGAGCAGCATCTCCACGTGTCTCTGGGTGGCCCATCACACGGGTCACCACACCTGGCCCGCTAGGGAGAGCCAGAGGGGACAATTCCTGGTCCTGCCCTGGGAAGCCCTTCGTGCGGGAGGGAGCTGAGCAGGTGCAGAAGCACACAGAACCATGGTGACAGTGGGGTGTCCCCCTGGGGTGAGTCCGGTCTCCATGCTGCCCTGGGGCTGGTCAGGAGACTCTCCCAAGGAGAGGTGGGCACTTGAGACGGCACCTGGGCGGACTGAGTGAGCGGCACAGGAGGAGAACACCGTGTGGGCAGGGTCGGGAGGAAGGGCAGGAAGGGGGTCCCCTCCCATGGTTGGCCTGTGGCTTGGCGCACAGCGGGCTCAGAACGTAAGCAGAGTGGCGGGGGCTGGAGGGGGGCGAGCGGGGGCAAGACACGGAGCCAGTGAAGCTCTGCTAGGCAGATGAAAGCTGGGGCAGAGCAGGAACAAGGAACGCCCAAGGTTGAGAAACCCGCTGAGAGAGGGTCGGTCAGAGCAGAAGGCAGTTCCTGGAAAGGGTCCGGAGAGTTGA